CGTCCGAACACTTAAGCTAATCTCAACATGATATGACATATAAAGACTAAACACACGAAGATAGTTCGGAGAATTTCAACGTGAAACATGACATGATTGGCACGACTTCTCGCACGGCCTTAAGAAAGGATACGCATGCACGCCTAAACGGAAGACTAAACTTAGTAAATGTAATAATTTCAGCCTACAACGACAGGGAGTTTACCTCTGATTATGTTCCACTAACGACAACACTTCGGACTCCCGTGTTCGCGTGGCTCTCCGCGTGCGTGGCGTCGCCGTGCGGTACTTGCGTAAGCTCGGGCGTGCGGTGCGGTAATAAACTTCCTCTCAAATCTCAACTCACTCTGTGCTTACTCTTCGGTACACATATATATGGAAAGGATAGGCAAAAATTTTCCACTTATAACCTATATATATATGTAACAGAACGAAAGTTGAGCTCATGACATGATTTGGTGTCTTTATCACAAAATGACACCTAATAATCCAAAGGTTTAGTCACCACAATTAAGCACTAGTCATCACTTAATCCTTCTTATGATGACACCTCATACTTGCCTTAATTAGGAAAAAAATGAAGACAAAACCACTCATTTTCCCCCACTTAAAACTTACGGATTTTTAGCAAACTATGGGAAAATTGTGCATGGCATTAGTGCATTAAACATGATTAACTCAATAATTAATTATCTCATTATGTTTAATTATTAATTAAATATAATGCTTAATTACCAAAATTACTCCGAACGTAAACGGAACGTCGAAAATAATTTTCGGTAATTTCGACTGAACTGACTGAAAATAATTAATTCCGATAAATTAATATCGGAACTAAAAACATGATTTACATGACGGAATATCGCTGACTGAATAATTAATTTCGGACTCATTAATTAATTAAATGAATCGGAATTAAATCTGGAAACTTATTCGGTTACTAAAATAAGTAAACCGAAATAACTTATCGACTAATAGTCGAACATAGAATATGACTGACTGCTCAATCTGAACTTGAACATGACTATTTATTAACAAAGGATAGCTTAAAACTAAAAGCTAGTATTTCCTTTATTAATAAAATACGGGGCGTTACAATCCACCCCCCTTAAAATATTTCCGTCCTCGGAAATAGTAAAACTGGAATGTACAAGCTTAACTTAAAGCTTATACTTACTGATTACATGACTTGAGAATCCAGTAATTTAATACTGAATAAGAGACTTGATCTGAACTGAAGATACATCAATTCACAATTAAGTGAATTGTAGAATACTGCTTACTGAGAATGGACACTTTTCTGAAAGAAAGTGTTCCACTGATAAGACATGATCTCAAAACGAAACTCTGAAACGTATTGGTCATCATCTCCTGGCTGCTGGCTGATCTCCAATCTGAATGCTGGTGGTGAAGACTCCTGTCGCAGGTATACACGGAAGATTCCAGAGATTCCCATATGCACAAATAGGGATAACTAGCTATATTGGTAATTACCTTTCTTGAATGTCTACTTGACAACGCGGCACATCGTTCATGGCGCATTGTAATGCGGCACACCTGCTCCTCATCAAGTGAGTGCGGCACGCCTGCATACAGCATCTGGCGAACATTGCACCTGCACCGTCGACGTAATCTGATCGCATTTATACCTCAAGCTAGTAACCTCAATGTACGTTAATACTAACTCTCTGTAATCTCCCAGTGTACTGAGACTCAAGCATGGCACCTTTGAATAGAAAGTGTCGGTTTGTCATCATGGCACGATTTGTTGCTATCGATTGGCCCTCCTTTGTCGCGACGTATTTCCACCTGTGGTACCTGTAACTGTTTACTTCCTCCAAGGTTAAACTTAACCTCAAGAAGAAGTCCATCATGAATGAATATCTCCCCCGATTTCTCAGATTCTTCAGAATTTGAGACTCGAGGCACTGACATACTGAAAATGATAGAT